GCCGTTGCCTTTTTTGCCACAACAACAATGATGACATGGATCATAGCTTACTACAATGTCCAACAGCATCCCATGTATGGAACAAGCTTGCAATAATGGCCAATGGACCTAGGGTGAAGAAGGACACCACACTGCGCCAACATCTCCTTGCATGGTGGTTCGGAAGCAACACCAAACACTTCAAAGGAACCCTTCGTCTCATCTTACCAGGACTTTGCACCTGGTCCCTTTGGAAGGCACGTAACTCCAGCATCCACAACGCATCGAACCCAACGGCAGAGGGAATTTTTCAAGCATGCCTCAAATCCCTACAAGCGTGGGCATGGATAAATAGAAACAAAAAATGGATGGTCCAGGATGAAGATTTCAAGGGCTTGGGGATCGATTCATTTTGGCGCAATGGTCGTAGAGTTTTATTCAAATGTGTAGCTTGACTTATTTTCTTTATCCCGCCCATGCCCCCGTGTAACACCTCTCTTTCCTCTTCAATAAAATTTTCTTTCAATATATATATATATATATATATATATATATAACCCGAAAAGAAACCACCAATTCAGTGGGGTAAGGTCTAGGTAACCCTTACCAACTAGATTAAAGAGAGAATATACAAATGGGTTCGGGTTGACCCAACAAAGTCCCGAAGAAGAAAAGAAAAGCCAAATATAACAACAGAAATTAACAGCTGCAAAGAAAAACAAAAAGGCCGAATATCTGTCCTCCTCAACTGAGCGTTTCAGCTCGCTCATCTTGTAAGATAGGGTAAAAGATTCAAGGCTTCAATTTCTTCCGATTTCGCAATCTTCTGAGCTTTTTTGTTCGACCAGTACCAGTGTTGAACTAGTTTTTGAATTTCAATAGTAATCCCCAATTTGGTCGCTTTGTGTTCCTCGTAGAGACATCTATTGTATGTCTTCCAAAGAATCCAGATGATGCATCCCAGTAAGATAAGCTTAAGAAGACCCCAAAGGGAGGTTTTTTTATATGACTCCCACCATTGTAATAGAAACTGCCTTAGCTCCCTGCCTTGACTCCATACTGGACCTCCAATATAATTCGCGAAGTCTCGCCAGATACTTAGAGAGAGGTCACATGTGAGTAGCGTATGTTCATCTGTTGCCTCAGCTTTCGCACAGAATAAACATTTACTAGGCAAATTATATGACAGTTGTTTGAGGATATTGGGAAAAGGGAGAAATTGGTTCAAGGCTTTCCAAGTGAAAAGCTTTATCTTGGGATCTGATACTTGTTCCAAGTGAGAGTGTAGAGCTGAGTACTGATGTCCCTTTCCCTAACTGCCCAATATGCCTCCTTAAAAGTGAAGTCCCCATTGTTCCATTTGAGAATGTTATTGTTCATGGTTGTGTTTAAAAGGCCTATAGTAGAAATTCTGCAGATTCTTTTCCAAGAGGCTGAGTCATACAGTTTAGATTCAAAAAGACCATCTCTGTAATATTTGTCTTTCATATAGGTGGCCCAAAGAGAATCACCTGTGATTGATTTCCACCAAAGTTTCAGAGCTGAAGCTTTTTGGATATCATCCAGACTCCTTATACCCAACCCTCCTTCTCCTGAAGGTCTGCAGAGGGTGACCCATTTTGACCAATGATGTTTATTCTTCCCCGCTTTAGAGCCCCAGAAAAAGTTAGCCAGTTTGGAATGGATTTGATTGATGATGGATTTGGGAATGTCCTGAACAGCATATATATATATATATATATATATATACATATATATATATATGTATATATATATATATATGTATATATATATATATATGTATATATATATGTGTGTGTGTGTGTGTGTGTGTATATATATATATATATCAAATTTTGATCCAAAGGTCGGGTTTAAACTCATTTGCTCCAATACCAAATTGTAACACCTTAATCCGTCCAGATCTGCAGGCCCTTTTAGACTAAAGTATTAACTTAGTAATCGTAAAATTTAAAACATTTCAAACACTTTTATTCACCATAAAAATAACTTTCATAACAGTAGCGGAGTTTTCAATGTTGTAGAAGCTTAATAAATCACAATCACATAATATAATTAATTTATGTTTTTTGAAATAACAGTTCAAATCCATCATATCCATCCATCCCGAAAATCTCTCCCCGTCTGCCACTAGGATCACGTCGCATCATTCTTTCAGTTTACCTGCGTGTAGCAAATAAATCATAATACACGCTCAGTAGTGAAGCTGAGTAAGGATATCTTATGCACAAAACATCCATATAAATTGAATCTAAATTCATAATCAAACCATTTGATATCATGCACATAATATTCAATTTTAATATTCAATATTCATAATATCAACAGTGCTATTAAATTATTTTTAATTTATGGCTAAATTATAACAATGCTCTTAAACTATTCTTAGTCTAAAGAAAAAATAAAGAACTGGGCTCTTGCTCTTAAACTATATATTAGTTTAAGGAAGAACACAAGAATCGATGACCTATCTTACGAGTCTTATAGGTCACGCTCAAAACTAAAAAGCGAAGAACTCACCATCGGTTTGGGTGGTACCCCCAAACGAGTGGGTACTCAAATTTAGTTTGTGGATCCTGAACGTATGTTATAAATTTGGCCACCCGACATCATACCTGCAAGGCCTAACTAAATTAGTCACATGTGTATATCTTAGAGTTCTTCTGAATACATTAAAATCAATATCCTTTTCATAATCATTATTAAATAAGGATATTTGTGTTTTTAATCATGGTTCAATCATCATAATCAATAATCAATAACAACATCATAACATTTCATAACAAACAGCGACATAACATCGAGTGTTAATTCCCTAGCTTACCGTCATACATCACACAAGGTTCTGGAATTTATCAAAACATCATATTTTGTTTAGAAGTGATATTCAGGCTGATTTATAGTTGTATCGTATCAAACATAAGATCTTACATTTCAAAATTCAAGTTTGTAGAAAAATTCCCAGTTCAGACGATACCTGTTACGGTACCTCGGTACCGGTACATGGTACCACAAGACCATTCAAATGGTATGGGGAATAGCCTGGTGTCAGGTACTGCCAGAGAAATTTGGATTATCTTGGTACCTTCCTACCGCTACCGGCGGTATGGCCTAGCGTTCAGGCGGTACCTAGGTATCGTCGAGGCGGTAGCCGATGTCGTGCCTACGTAAGTTTTTAAAAGTGATATTTTCAACCTCGGGCCAATTTTTGAAAACCTAATTTTTAGCCATCAAACTTTAATTAAACTATATAGAAATGTTCTCCAAAGTTCATAGATCATTTTAGTAATTAATTCAAAGTTTTAACAACAATTCCAAGGTTTTTTAATCTTGGTTCTTCAAGCATGTCAAACACAAAACTCAATCAAACGACTGTTTATGAACGTAGAAATGATCTATATCAACATTCTAATCACTAGATATATATAGGGGCTTACCTCAGGCTTAAGCAGAGGTTTTGGGAAAGTTTCGACAAAACTTATGGTGAGGATTACTACTCAGAAATATTTGCACAAAATAACACAAAAACATAAGTCATTTCCCTAAATAGCACTTAAATTGTTTTTTTCCTTAAATATCACTTAATAATTTCCATAATATCCTGTGATGGCGAATATTTACTTGAATAATGACTAATGCATAATGACTAAAAGTGCTACAAAGAGAAAAAAATACATGTGGTGCTATTTAGGGAAAGTCATTATGTTTTAGTACTATTTAAGTAAAATCCTCTACTACTAACTCCGACGACTTTGAGCTCTCTAGGCAGCACCTTTATACTCTCCACACTCAAAGGAACTCACAGCAAGAAGATCAGAAAGAGGAAGAATGGTGGAGAATGAGGGACGAGAGTCTCTCTTATATAGTAGGAAAAGGAAGAAGAAGACACACTACCTCATGTTCGTGCGGCGTAGTGGAGCATACGACATAGACTTAGGGGATTTTATACATCATCCCTTATTGGGACTAATTTGGTCCCAGGGTATACTTTTTTGTCCAACTTTTTCCAAATAAAATTCTGATTGTACTATTGCATTTAGACAATCTAACTCTACATAACGGTACAACAACAACCTAGTTGAATCCCACTACAGTAGGGTCTGACCACAACGGTATAATTGTTAATTAATTATTTCTGATAGGCCTATTTTTGGAGCACTACAAGTATACTTCCGTAATTCTTTTTATTATTATATGAAAGGTCATAATAATATTTTCATGAAACTTTAGTTTAATAATATAACAATATATTATTATTATTATTTCTATATATAATGAATCCTAAATTAATGTTTTTACTCTTAATATATTTATTACGGATGTACTGTTTTTATGGATATTTTCATAAATAACATTTAGGATCTGTTTGGTGAGCTTTGGAGATATGATAAGATATCAGTTTTGAAATTAGGAAAAAAAGATATGAGTTTTAAAATCTGAGTAAAAAAGTGTTTGGAGAGATATGAAATAAAATAACTTCTAGTACTTCATTGTTTGGTGAGAAATTGATAGAAAAATGAAAGAGGTCAAACTTCTCGGAGTCACGATCTTCACGATCCAAAGTTTAAAGATGAAAAAAAATGAAGGGGAAGGTTCAAGTGACATTGGACCTCAATGTCATGGGATGACCCGGGGGTGCTCCGGTGCCCCATTCGTAAAATTGACGGTTCCTACCCCCCGGTAAACCCCCCACCCGGTCCCGACCCGAACACACCCCCCACCCTCCTTCAATTGCACCCCACAAGTTGAGTTTGACTTTGGAGTCAAAATTTGACTCTAAAGTCAAAATCAACTTGTGGGGTGCAATTGAAGGGGGTGGGGGTGTGTTTGGGTCAGGGCCGGGTGGGGGGTTTACCGGGGGGTTAGGAGGGGTAGGAACCGTCAATTTTATGAACGGGGCACCGGAGCGCCCCCGGGTCATCCCATGACATTGTCGTCCAATGTCACTTGAACCTTGGTGAAAAATGAAATTGAAATAGGACGACGGAGATTGAGGGAGGATTGACGACGGGAACAAGCGCCTGCCTAGGGCTATCAACCCTGATCCGATCAGCGATGAAAACAACCCTAGTTGGATCCTCGACAACTACTGGAAGACGAGGATGGTGGCCAGAGCTTCAGATTAGAAGGTACAGACTTGGGTTGTGAATTCCGACTGTGGTCGGTGGTTTCTAACATCAAGGACAGATGGGTAAGGAAGATTGATAGTGACTATGAAGAGAGCTGTGAGATTGATGCCTACGAGAGGGAAGATTGATATCGCCTATATCAACTTTTGATATCGACAAATTAATCAAGATATGGAGACGCAGAGAGTTTGCATATCTCTAGATTTGAAAGCTTCATCCCTTTTTTGCTTACCAAACATTAACTAGATTCATACTCGTGCAATGCACGACCATGAAGCGGCCATGAAGTTTTTAAATTTTTTTTATTTTGTATAATTAAAATTAATAGTTGAAAACGTTAACATATACATTTTCCCTGCAATGTGAGCATCAAAATAATGTTTCAATTTGAATGTGTATATATTTTAATTTTACCACTATAAGAATATTAAAATTGGTGAATGATGCAAACAGAGTTAGTAACATTTCATGCAGTTATGATTACTTAAATTACAATCATGGGCTAATAGCATGGGTGCCCCCGGTGATTTAAAAAAAAACGTTAAAATTTCTTTCTTTTTCAAAAGTTATTTGTAAAGTCTTTATAGTTTCTAAATAGAACACACATGCCCCGTTACTTATTTTTAAAGCAAAAATAACATTTATGCCTTTTCTTTCCCTCAATCTTGAATTTTTCCAATTTTATTTTTTTTATTATTCAAATATATAAAGTAAAATATACGCTTCCCATCTCAAATTAAAATTTTCCATAATGTATTTTTGAAAACAAAATATTTTTTGGAGAATGTTACAAAAGAAAATGAAAAATAAAATTAGAGATGTCAATTGAAAGCATTAGAGACCTCAATTAATATTGTTAAGTAAGAAAACTATAATGAGAGAAGTTGAATATTTAAATATCAAAAGAATACTCCGTATAATTTTAAATTAAAATATTTAATTTAAATAATGACCTCTTGGTCATTATTTTTTTAAAAGTTTCACATTGCATGTATAAAAAAAAGTTTTGAAGACGTTGCTCCCGATTCCCGAACACTCGAAAGTAACCCCTACTATCTGTATCCGCCACTGCAATTTATATAGATTCTTAGAATGAAAATCTTTTGTATATACCCAGGGAGTGATCAAAGATTTTAAGATTAGTTCAAAGCTTCTAAGGTAATTTTTGGTATGGCGATTGTGGCTACTTCATAGCCCATAACAGATCTTCTTTGAGAACATCAGAAAATTTAGTCCCTCCAACTTACTTAGTAATCTACAAAAAGATACTATATCAATGATTCATTATTGATATATACTTACTATATACTGAATTGATGAGTACATGTTGAAACTCTACTCTTTGCCAGTAAAGTCAGTAATTAAGGATCTTACTACAATGATCATTAATTTTAATGGTTATGTAGGTACTATGAATTCATGAACTTGAGAGCATTGGCAGCGGCAAGGATTTGCCTTGCCACGCCCTACCATCCGTGGAGATCCAAGAGACACAGCGGGAGTGGAAAAAATTGGGTCGCGTGGCGTTCCGCGAGCCACTCTGATTTGCGAGGCGAGTGCGAGGCAAATAGGAGCACTCCGATCCGGCCGCTTCTCGTCTATATCCTCTGCGGAAATCACCGGCAGCACCCCTCTTTGGAAGTCAGATCCCCTTTAGCCACCATCGCCGTGCCGATTTGAACGGCATCGCTGTAGGCAAGACGCTGCTATCCATTTCCGAGTTCCAGAGAGCAATTCAGAATGCGCGTCGCCGGCGTCGGACGGCTGCGAGCCGGCCGGAATTTGATGGATCTGACTCCGGAGCGAGTGAACACAGATGCTGAGGCCGTGCAACAGTTCTGAAGTTTGTTCTGGGCCTCTGTTTCTCTTCTTTGCCATTTTGGTATGTAAAAAAATGTCAAAATTGCAAAGTAAACAAAAAAAAGTGACTTGCCACTGTAGGATAATGCCATGCCACTGTGTGACTAGATTGGTTTTGATTGGTCGAATCGTGTCATGTCAGCGTGTGGCATTCCAATGCATGCCTTGCCATTGTTCATGCTGTATAATACATCGCCATCAAGTAAAAACATTCAAGTACGGAGTGCATGTTTTTTTTCATACATCACCATATAAATGTACTATTCCTTCCGTCTCAATGTATTTGTTCAGTTTGATTTTTTTCGAGTTAAATTGGATAAACTTTAAGCTTCAATTAAATAAAAATCGTAATATATTTTAACATAAAAATAACTTTATTGGATTTATCGTATTGAAAATTTTCAAAATTATATGTTAGGATTTGATTTGATATTATTAATATGAATATTATTCGGACTTGATATGATTATATTTGATATTATGTATGTATTATGCTATTATTAGTCATTTCATGATAACCACAAAAGGATCCAAACACATGCATACGTCCAAACATGGAGCAGCTGCGCATGGCCATCCATAATATCCGGTTGGTTATTTGTTTGGGTTAGAATTCATTGTATAGGCATTAATATATATTTTTTCGGTTTCACAAAATCCTTCATCTTTTGTTTTTTTGTTTTCCACAAAACACTTCCACTTTTTATTAAAAAACCACTTGTATCACTACTTTTTCATATACTACATATCACATCATACTTTTTCACTAATAACCAAAATTACACTTTCCTTATTTTTCACCAAAGTCAAAACCTGAAGGGTACGGTATTGTGAAACGAAGGGTGTAGAGCAATGCTAAGGGTACACCAAAGGTGTACCCCATTTGTCCCCCACCTCTCTCTCCACCACTCATTTTTACTTCATTTTTATTTATTTAATTTCTTTTAGTTTCTTGCCCATTTTTGTGGTAATGGAGGGAGTGGAGGACAAATGGGATATCCCAAAAGTGTAGACCATGTACATTGGAGTTCAAAATTTGTCCAGTTTAACTCAAAAAAGTCAAACTGGATAAATACAAAGGACAGAAGGTAATACATACATTGCATCGATCTCTCCCACTGAGAATCAAGTACGGAGTACATGTTTTTTTATAAAGCCGAGTATTGGGAAAATGCTATGTATATTCCTGCCACCTCTATCCTCTATTATAACGGGAGTTGGGATGTGTAGGGACATCTATTCAATAATTCTGAATTTTGGATAGTAATATGAATACTGATAATTAGCTTTTAAAAAAGAAAAGAAAAATGAATACTGATAAATAAGTATGGAGTACAATAATGAGGGCCATCTGGGATGTGGGGTTGCAGAGACTCTTGACATCCTATTGTGATTCGGGGGTCGGCCTCGAAAAAATGAAAGAAATTCGCTCGTCCAAAATTTACATTTTGGACCCTATTTTATTATTTTAGAATACTTATGCTTCAATTGGAAGTTAGAAAAAGTTTAAATTATTACTCCATATTAATATCATTAAAGTGGAATTATTTCGACCATGCCATCATATGAATGAGAATGAACCTTCAAGTAAAAACCTTTATAGGTCAAGGGCACATCCTTCTTAAAATTGTCAATTGTTCTTTTGCAAATGGCATTATTTTTTGCTGTCTAATTAGAAATAAGCGGAGATATTAATGATATTTATAGATCAAGCAGAAAAGTACCGAATAAGAATTAAAAAGTTCAATGCAAGTGTTAAAAGGGTATGTAGTACAAACATGGCAAAAAACATGATTCTCTACCATTCATACAACAAATACATAGATAAGAGCATAAGCAATGGACACACAAAACAACTTATAGCATATCTTTTCCACATTCATAGCACGCCACTTCTTTGAAGAACTGGTTCAATCAAACTCGTCCAACAATGATTGCCTTATATCGTCATCGTCCATGAACCCTTGTTCTTTCGTATCCTTCCCAATGGTATTCGGCTCAGATCATTTTTTTATTTGAACCATTCTATGCAGAAAATTAAATGCAAAGGAGATACCTCGAAATAAAAATGCGGTGGAAATGGAATGCAAAGTGAATCAGCCTAAATGTGGATTCAAAGAGCTGCTATATATAGTGCAGGAACTGCCATTGATGGTATATTTGTGAAACTCAAGGTATTCTGAAAAATGGTTGAGAGATAAATTGATGATGAGGTATAGCAATAGAAAGCAAATAAGGAATAAGGAAGGAAAAACAAGGGTGAAGGAATTGAAACAGGTGAATGAACTGCTATGGAATGCCCAAATTTTATACTGATGGGATGGTAGCCATAATTGAGTTTCATTATTGCCACCTATAGTGTTTTGTCTTAACATGGCATAGAAAAGGCGGGAAACAACATATACCATTTTATTTTCTTTTTATATAGAGTAGGATTTTGGAATTTTGATATCGGAGATATCAAATCTCATGTTTGATTAGCTCACCAAACACGTCCTAATATACACGGAAATGATCATAATGTACCGTAATTACATATAAGGTAAAAAATTGACATTATATTGCCAGATTTCTATTCATGAAACTTTGACTTATTATTATTTCTATCATAAATCTTGCATCAAAATGTGCATATATTTTCATGAATAATAATAATAATATATTTCCGTTATTGTATTTATTCTTATATAAAAGATAATAATATAATATTAATAATATATTATTATTTCTATAATATATCCTAAATTAAAACACACATATATTCTTATGAATAATAATATACTTTCGTAATTGTTTTTATTCTCATATAAAAGGTAATAATAATTATATAATATTTTCGTTATATTTTTGTCTAATAACAAAATAAAAATAATATATTATATTATTTCTAAAATAAATCCTAATTTAAATTAAAACACATATATATTCTTATGAATAATAATATACTTCTGTAATTGTTTTTATTCTCATATAAAAGGTAACAATAATATTTTAATAATAAATGTTACATTAATAAAAAGTAAAATACAAAGGAAAATGATTTTCAAGGAAGATTTTTTTTCCAAACATATTGTTTGTTGTTTAGTAGGAAGGAAAATATTTTCTTAAAATTTGTTTCTTTTATTAATATTTACAAACTAAAATTCTAAACTTACCAATTCCAGATTTTAAATTCTATAACATACGAAAAGACTTTGAAATCAACAATTTGAATTCTATGACTCAAACTGAGGGGGGTGTATTCAATTAGAAGTCTGTAAGATTTTTTAAAACTTTTAAAATCCGAGGGCATTCAATCTAAACTTTAAAAAATCTTAAAAAATTCTGAGATATTCAATAAAATTTTAAAAAGTCTTAAAAAATCTTCATATATTCAATAGTTAATGAGTTTTAATACTCTATAGATTGTGTTGGATTCGATATGCTTAGTTGAAATCACTTCTCAAATGGGAGATTTCTATGGACTGGTTTAAAAGGCACCCGTACAACCAACCCCTTTCTCTTTTTTTCTGTTTCGAATTTTCATCTTCTTCAGTTCATCCCTCCCATCCCTCCCACCATTTATATACTTACACATAAATTAGTTCATCATTTTCTGTGCTTTTGTTTACTTTCTGAATCTTCCGCATCAAAGGAAAGCTTCAAGTCATTATTGTATAATATAAGGAAACAGAGAATGCTCCTTAACTTGCACATAAGTCATAGTGGCACAACAAAATCTATCTTTGACCTCTCATTGGATCTTCCATTTATCTTTGATTTAAAAAACAAATCATCAGTTTTATAAGAAGAAGAAGAAGAAGAAGAAGAAGAAGAAGAAGAAGAAGAAGAAGAAGAAGAAGAAGAAGAAGAAGAAGATTGTTGGATCTTGGTTCGATTCCATTCTCAGATGTCTGAATCATTGTATATTGTTTATACTGTATGAGAAGAGATGTAGCTGACGGCCACCAAAATTCATCCCTGTCATTCCTTTGCCTCACTTCGTGAGAAGGGACACAAATTGTTCGATGAAATGTCACAATGACTTCCATGAAGAAAACTATTGAAAAAGACATTTCAAAAATACTCAAGGAGGCTTCTTTTATCCTCCAAATGCTTCCAACTCATTCTCAATGTATGTGTGTTGTTGCGGTATTGATTCTCGCAGACTTTTTTGAACAAATCAAATTCTTTTAAAACAAATAGAATTCTTTTAGGCCCCGTTTGGTACATGGAATTCAAACTATGGAATTGGAATTGAAGACTTCAATTCCAATTCTGGTGTTTGATAGCACAAAAATTATGTGGATTTGGAATTGATAGTACAAAAAATGAATTGGAATTGGTGAATTCAATTTTATGGAATTGAATCCCATAGAATTTCAATTCCAATTCAATTCCAATTCCATCAATTCCGTATACCAAACGGACCCTTAAAATTCTTGTAAATCAATTAAAAAGTCGGCCAACCTCTACAAGGACACCATGGATTTTTTAAATTCACAGACTTATTAAAATAAAAAAAAGTTCAATACAATCCCAATTGAATACACCCTCCTGAAATCAAGTGAATTCTTTTCGGGTCATAATAATAAAACGTGTCTTATAGATTTTGGGTCTTAAAGATTTTAAAATATAATGTTAAAATTTAAACTTTTTAATTAAGAATTAAAACTAAGAATTAAAATTTAGAAATTAAAAAAGCTTAAAAATTTAAAATAAAATAAAATAAAAATTACTCCCTCCGAACAATAATCTTCCCATTGTGTGTTATGATGTTTGACTGAAATAATTTTCATATTATTTTATATGAAAAATTGTGTGAAATAAAAAAAATAGAAATAACATATTTAAAAAATATATTAAAAGATCTAAAAACTAGATGTGACATAACCATATTATTTTATCAAATGAAAATAAAAAAACAAACAAAGTGATTAAAATTTAAATCTGTGAATAGTAAGCGGGGAGAATATTTTTGGACAGAGAGAGTACAATATAAAAATTTAATGTTTAAGGTTTAAAAACTGAAAATTATGATTTTAAAATTAAAAATAAAAATTTAAAAATAAAAAATTAAGATTTTTAAATTTAAAATTTTAAAATTAAAATTTGGAAAATGAAATCTAAATTTTACTCCCTCCGTCCCAAATTATAATGCATGTTCACTACTCACAGGGTCAAACTTCATTCACTTTCTTTCTCTATTTTCCTTAGCAATTTGATAAAATAAAATATTATTGTCACTACTAGTTTTGCAGATCTTTTGATGTAGTTTTTTAATATGTAATTTTTATTTTTTAATTCTATACCATTTGTCATATAAAATAATTTGAAAATAATTTCAGTCAAACATCGTAAACCGAAACAGACATTATAAAATAAGACGGAGGTAGTAGTATTTAAATGTTTATGATTTAAAACTAAAAAATTCCCCCCCCCCCAAACCAAACACAAACACAACATTAAAAATATATGAGTACTCCGTAATTTTTTTAAAATGCCAAAATCGGTATCTAGAACCGGACGGGAACCAGACCCGAACCAGTTCATGTCCACGCCATACAAGTAATCCTCGCTATTAAGGCTCCGTTCCGTTCAACTTATTTTTTCTGATCTGATCTGATTCTAATAAGTTCTGATCTGATCTGGTCTGATCTGATTGGATATGATCTGATCTGATCAGATCAGATTGGATCTGATCTGATCTGATCTGATTGGATCTGATCTGATCTGATCTGATTGGATCTGATCTGATTGGATCTGATCTGATCTGATTGGATCTGATCTGATCTGATCTGATTAATTATGATTTAATTTAAAATTTCAAATCAATAATTTAATTTGACTTTATAATAACTTTTGAAAATTGTAATGATAATTCATATTATAATATAATCAATATTTTTTATTTAATGATTATTTTTTAATAAAATAAAAATAGTTAATTCATATATTAGAATAATCATTCATATTATAATGTAATAATATTTTTTATTTTATAATTATTTTTTTGTAAAATTAGAATTATACATTAGAATAAATATTTAATTTAGATATACATTTAAAAGTAATTAAATTTAGATAATCAATATATAGAAGAGATAGTATTTTTATTAAAATATCTCATCCTTATAAAAGATCAAAAGTTTAGAAACTCAAATTACAAGTAGCAATAAAAATATATTTTAAAAGTAGAATTAGATTGACATTGTCAATGTATTTTAAAACTAATTTTTCCGACGTCTAATAATTAAGGATTACTTTCTCAG